CTGATCACAGCAGTGGAACTTTAGCAGTGTGGGAACGGGGATTTCTAGCGAGCCGGAGACTGACGGCTTCACCCCGGGACACCACGCCGAGACAAAGAGCGGCCAGGAAAAAAATACGACAGCGGGTCAGCGAGCGCTATGGGGCAGGCTCAGAATAACCTCAGCGTCTACCTGAGCCGAGGTCGACGGGTCCGGCCTAGTCGCACAAAGGAGGACCTACACACACCTTTACACAAGCACCGGAGCTCACACACACTCTACACAAGAACAGACGGGCATGTATAGAAGTGAAGGTGTTTACTCCGGTTCAGCTCACACAGCCGAGTGTGGGTGTGGAGGAGTATTTGCATGTAGAGCCCAGACATTTCTGACATTCTGCCCGGTAGCAATTTCCCTCCCACCCCTTTTGTCTTTACTTAGACCATAAAACATCAAATCTGAGATTAGAGCTGTAAAAACTGAATTTACCCAATCTGACCTTTTTTTTAAATTTCACGCTAAGTTTTCTCTTCACATCTCATAGTCCTAAAACTGATTTCTGATCATGAGAAACATTATTTCTTGCAAGCTGACTAGAGCTATATGACAGACAAAACAAATTGTGTTTATCGATTTGTCAGGTTTTAAGAGCAGGATAAAAGCAAAGCTGAGTCCTACTAACTTTGAACACACCGCACAGTAATTTAATACATTTTAAAACGTGTTAATAATTAAGCACGGATACCAATCTTCCTAGGAGTGAATGTCCCAGTAGGTCCGTTGTCAGGTCGGACCTTGTAATGGTCAGAAACATTACAAAAACCCAAGAGCTCCATCTCAGACTCCGCATAGGTCTGTTCACAGGTTAAAGTTTAAAGTTCATGACAGAACAACTAGAAAAAGACGAGCTTCCAGGAAAAGCCTATTTTCCCATTAAAGCATATATAGATGAAGTTGAAATGTGGTCTTCTGGACAGACGACACCCATCTTGACTCTCAACGGGGAAGGCTGTTGTTGGATTAGTGTTGATAAGAGAGCAGAAAACATCTCAGCTAGTAGAAGCTAACCGTTAGCATTTGCAACTCCACCACACAGCAGAACTCCTCCAGGCTTGTGTTTATTTGTGGAGATTAATAGTCCACATTGGAGAGCAAACAGAGTCAGTGGTAAGCCTGAATTATACTTCTCCATCAGCTCCATGAGGGAGAAACACGCACACATGGAAGGAGACGATATGCCCTCACACTTCTCCGTCTCCTGGGGAGTGTAACAAAGCAATTCCCCGCCAGCACAGCAGAGGGCGTAGAGCTGTTCTATGGCATCCTGTCATGTATACGGTCCAAGACGGTGTGTTTACATTGTGTTTATATTTTTTTGTGTGTATTTTAGAATTTTTAACACCGACAAATTTGCCCCTCATTCTCCTCCCCCTCTTCATGCGCTCGCCACCTCTAAACCCACATTTATCGTCATTTCCATTCACGAATAAAACGCTGCTGTGCAACTTTTCACTCCTCCAGTCAATAAAAACATCCATATATATTTTTTTAGTTTTTCCCCGAGGTATTCTTCAAGCTGCTCTGTGTCTGCCGCTAGATATCCTTGGCTCTCTTTATGTTTTTGAGGGTGCAGTGACAGCACTGTGGATGACAGCAGCGTCCTGACTGATCCCAAGCCTGCATTCTCCGTCTTGACGGATGGACGTTTCGAAAAGAGAGCTTGACTCTGTCCGTTATTGCGAGCCTTTCGGAGAGCCCTTTAAAGAATGGATAATGGAATTGCGTGCGTCTGTCCCGACACAGACGGAGTTTAAATTAGGCTGTAGAGTTGCGTTGCTGTTAGCCAATCTGAGGTGAGATGTCTAGGAAGTAAGACTCCAAATCCTGCTGTCTGCTGCCCCTTTCTCCAGCTGAATTCTACGTTCTCAAACAGGAATTTGTAGCTTTTTTCCCCAAAGAGCAACTTACAATGCATGCATTCTTTCTAGAAACCATTGCAAATTTATTGAAAATGTGAAAAAGCTTGACCTTTAACTCCTCTGAATATCAGAACGTTCTAGACTCATTTATGGGTCCATGTATCTGACAGCTGTAGATTAGACTAAATTGGGCCCCAAAAGAAGACAGTGAGTTTACACTCGTCAGCAGGGGTGGCGTTAGGCCCGGCTACTTGGGCTGAAGCCCCGGATCTTTCATGATAAGCCCCGGATCTAAATCGCGGAAGTAACATGCAGTACCAAAGTCCAACAGAGAGAGCGCAGCTGGCAGTAGTTTGTAAAGTCCCATTTAGTCACACAGGTGTGTGGTGAAATTTATTCTCCGCATTTGACCCATCCCCTGGGTCAAAATAGCTCGGGGAACTATATGGTGGTTTAACCCCCCAATCCAAGCCTTTAATTGCTGAGTGTCAAGCAGGGAGGCATTGGGTCCCATTTTTCTCAAAGTCTTTGGTATGACCCGACCAGGAGTCGAACCCCTGATCTCCCGATCTCAGGGCGGACACTCTACCACTAGGCCACTCAGTCGGTATACAGCCTGCTTGAGCCTCCACCACTGAAGAGAAGCCCTTCAGCAGCTGACTTCTTCTACAGTCTCTGTCTGAAACGCATGAGTGAAGATGGACATAAGGACGTTTTTTAGACCAAAAGTACAACGACAGAACCCAGGCTCTGATGAGACTGGTGTTGACTCAGGTTTGTGAGTCTTATTTGAAAATATTTGTTGTGCTGCTGGTTTGCCTAAAGTTAGCTTACTATCAGGTAAACACTAACAGGAACAATACTCTGCCCTGAATATGCTTAATATGTAGCTTCAGATTAAACATTATGTGGTACAAGATATATATATATATATATGATGTTGACTAGTGCGTGTCACGTGTGTGCGCGCAAGCGTGTGTGCGCGCGCGCGTGTGCGCGCGTGTGTGTTAAGCCCCGGATCTTCTTCAGTCCTAAATCCGCCCCTGCTCGTCAGTAAATCTGCAACAGAACAGCTGAAAAGAATGAATCAGGACCGACACAAAAGATCCTCACTATTTCTGCTGAGAAATCATAAGAACTAAATAATTCTATTTCTAACTGTTTCCTCAAGTGGGCGTTGTTTTTCATAAATACACTTAGACGTACTGTTTTAGGTTCAGTGTTTATAACCATATAATTAAATACTGCCAAGCCTTCTCCCCGTGAAACAAAGGCAACTCCCACTGGTGAAAAGGGTGTCACAGACAATAAATCTAATTCCAGATAACGTGCCAGTTGAAGGTAATGCTAAAAGTGTTTTAGATGTTTTTTTTCCTCCAAACAAACCGAATGGACTAATTATTCATGAAGGGATGCAAAGCTTTGGTGTGCCTCTTGCATCACACTTGTTTACATATCCTGGTTTCTGACTGACGTGAACAAATTGGGATCTTGTATACAAAGTGGGTCTCAGCAACAGGACATAAATAGAGATCTTTTAGGGATATGTATCCGTTTCCCTGATCTTCTCCCTCACAGATGTTGCCATTTACTTTGTGGAATGAATCTAAACAACAGGACAACAGGGTTTGGAAGAGTGGGTGATGTCTACACATAAACACAGAGCATCCTGAATGCACTTGCTCAGGCTAAGTGTACATGTTTACACGTGAGTGAGGCACACTCACTCATCTCCATGTATTCTGGTGTGAGGCCTTCAAATGGAGCCAGAGCATAGTCCAGGTTCCACTGATGTGGCTTCTCCTCATCCCTCTCTTTTGGGGTGGACTTCTTGTCCCTCAGAGAACGGAAAAGCTTCTTCAACTTCCTGTTGAGACCGAAATTGAGAAAGCTGATCAAAACAGGGTAAAACTTATTTATAAGTATATATATATATATATGTTTGTTTATGAACAATACCCTTATTTTACTCAGGGGTTGGAAATCATTTTTGAACAACTCTTTCAACTCAGAAAGTCAGAAATTCCAAACCAACCCTGACCTCAAAGTCCATTTGCCATGATCCGTGTTACAAGCCGTGTCAAGTACCGGGGTTGTGCTGGGGTGCTGCAGCTCACACACCTGACTCCACACCTCTGTGATCTCTCTACCTCAGAGGTCAAAACTTATTGTTCCTTTCACACCAAATTGAGTTTCTCAGACCATTATCTCTATGACAGCTCCATTCTGCAGCTCCTCCAGTCCTCAATAGTAACCTGCCTGTCTGTATATGTGTCTCAGGCTGATTTTATTCTCTTTGTCCTAATTATTTTTACTATTACGTGCATGGGTTCTTAGAATGAAATGGATATCTACTATTTTTTATCTTTTATGTGTAGACATTTGTGCCTTCAAGCAGAGTTAACCAATGAAATGTTGTTCTGCGTGATGACAATCAATAATTCTTACATTACTCTTCAAGGCTCTGGTTTGCTTCTGTCCAACTCCTAAATCTCTCCTTTTCTCAACCTACTACCAGCATCACAATAGCACAGCCATCCTTGAACTTCTTTACCATAAGATCATCTTCTTTCTTCATTCTATTCATTTTCTACGACATTTCTCACCCCATTGCTCCCTTGTCTTCTCAGATCCTGCAAATCCCCATTTTGGCTCTCCTGGTGCTTGAACATTCGTTTTGTAAAATAAACCGTTACCATTTATTACCTACATTCTCCTGAATGTTTCTGCATGAAAGTTCAAGGAATGATCCTCACACATGACACCAATATGGCTGCCCATATATTGATGTTTTTTCCTGATGCTTTTTGTGGTGAGAAGCGGCTTCGTTGCTGCCCCTCGTGACATCAGAATGTTCTATAAGTCTTTTTTAAAAAGTCCCAATTTTTCGTGTCACAAACAGGGGAAGTAGAATAAAACCACCTCTCACACGCAAGAGTGAGCTGCTGCTGGAGGAGCAGTGGAAGAACAGCTCCCCCGTCCTCACTTTCACAGACATTAGGGAGATGTTTTGTGCAAACCCCGCTCCCACAGCGTTCGTTCGGCTGTGTTCAAAAGGGCCAGCCTTTTGAACGGCTCTTTGAGGTAAACAGCTGTCAAATGAATGGCTCCCTTCAAAGAGATAAAAGTCCCATTGCTACTCTTCTCCAAGCCCCTCCCAGATAGCAGAGCTTCTCAGCTCATAGTAGCCTGAATAGGGGATGGGTGGACATGGCCAGCTCCTGCTTGTTTTCTTAAATTGACAGAGCCATGGAACGGCTCTTTCTGGAAAACAGTCAAAAAAAAAGTCATAACATATCCCCTCTACATGTGCTGCAGATGACTTTACACCTGCCTGCTGCTAATCCGTACAGGTTCTGCTCTGTTGAGGACCTGTGAATCAACATGTTTTTCTTTGGATGAGCATTGTAAAAACACACTATCACGAGGATGAGTTTGGTTTTTACTGTACAGCAGCGAGCGTTTCAATGGAAAACCATCAGCATAACAACCGGCGGCTGAGTGACAGTAAAGAAACGGGTTTAAAGACACCGGATGGCGTGTTAAAGTGAAAACAGATCTCTGACTGCCTCGGGGAGACCCAGAGAGGCTTTACAAGTGTGAATCTAGAAGAAAACAAGTTTGGATTTGAGCAGTTCTATTAGTCAGTACAGTTCATGTGCATGTGGGTTGTACCTGCGTCTGTGTGGTGCTTATTAAAAAGTGTTAAAAAGCATGTGTGTATTATGCAATAATGGATTTGACATTTTTCATACAGCGAGAAGCAGATCTCTGCCCTGGCCCTTTCTGCTTTTTTCTCTCCTTTGGTTGCAATTACTTTGATTTAAATGTAGCAGAACACTTTCCAAGGCCTCTGACAAACATTTGGGGTGAGAGGTTAATGTTCCAGATCATGGAACGTTTGTTTATTTTTACTATTACGCTTTGATCTTGTCATCTTTTAAACATTTTCACATAAATGTGAGAAGTTTGAAGAAGTGATGAAGCGTTTCCTGTGACTTCTGGCACGCGTCTTTAACTCAAGTAGTTGGGGCTCCACTCTTATGTAACAACATGAATGTGTAGTCCATGAAAGCAGTGGTAGAAACTATAACTGATGACTGTATCTTTACTGAACCCTACATGGTCCCTTTCTTTCAGTAATTCACCAGCAGGCGGCTGTTTTGTACCAACTGTTTGTTTTGCTCTTCTTGTGCTTGAATGACGTGAATCCTCTCTGGGAGGATGTTCAGGCCCAGTTCACCAGGCCCAGAGAGAGTACACCTCTCTTGTCTTCTCTCTGTTGAGCATACAGCTCCTAGTAACCGGTTGTTCCGGAACCAAGACAAAGCCAACATCCTACTGGAGATGCTTTGACAGATGGAACACATCTTAGAGCTGTGGCCCAAAGAAGCTCACAAATATTAACTCTCCTATCATCAACATACAAATAGCAGGTATCTTTGTTTGAAAATGACATTGGGCAAGTTAAACACTAGATACTCAAAAGAAAACTCAATTTTCTACGTGATTCATCATTCGCATGAGCAGGTGTGGAAGTAAATGTCTCTCAAATGGCAAAACACATTTTTTTGTCAATTATATTGTTTTAATATTTAAAATAGAGGGAAAATCACAACTGAAATACAAATTTGGTTGATTGCACGGTCCTGAGCGGTTCATTTTTCACGTGTTCACCGAGAGGTCTTTAGCTTTTGACCTTTCGCGCAGCTTTGATGAAGCCTTCATCTCAAAACCACACCCTGGTCAGCAATATATGACCAATATTTCACAGGCTTCTTCCAGGTGTGAAAACCTTTAAGTTAATGGGTGTGAAACTGATCTATTGGTGGAATGTGACACAGCTCTCTGTTCCTCATACTAGGAAACTAATCAAAGAGGCCAGGAGGTTAATCTGTCCTTAAAGCCACAGCAACACGAGGCCTGAAGGCAGACAATGTGTGAAAGTGGTTATAAACACTGTATGCATGGTGGCGCATTGGTTAGCACTGTTGCCTCGCAGCACGAAGGTCGCAGGTTCGAAACTCGGCTGCGGCCTTTCTGCGTGGAGTTGCGTGCTCTCCCCATGCATGCGTGGGATTCCTCCGGGTACTACGGTTTCCCCCACAGATCACAACATGCCCTATAGGTTATAAATTGTAAGTCGCTTTGGATAAAAGCCTCTGCTAAATAAATAAACATAAACACATATGACCTCTGACCAAAGGGGACTGCTTGTAAAAACTGAGCTATGATTAGACAAGAGGGAGTGAATCTTACAGGTGTCAAGCTATTCAGTCACCAAATAAAGAATATGTTGTATTTTCAAACATCAAATAAAAACGATCAAATAAAGAAAGCATTCAACTTACGGGATGCCGATCTCAAAGATGTTATTCTGGATCAGCTGCTTACCCAGCATGATGATGCTGAGCTGAATACACAACTCGATGAGGCAGCCTCCTGGAGCGCACTGAAGGAGACACGAGTGCTTAAACCTCACACACTCACAGTCACTTTTGTATGTACTCAGTGTAATAAACAGAAAGCTTAATGACAGAAAGAAAACAAACCTCTTCCATTCGATAATTGTTAAAGACGTATGTGTAACTTCCAGGTCGACCTGCAAACCTGCAGAGTTTTTTATTTAGTAACACAACAAGGCTGAAAATAGAGCTTTTTCTCAGCTAAATGCAGGCTCCCATAACACACACCTGTAGACAAACACACATGAATGAAGCTTACCGTCCTTTGAAGAAAGCCACGTAAAAAATAGGAGCGTATGCATTCATAAACTTCAGTAAGAAGGCTTTCAGGATGAGGCGCTCTTCATAGTCTGTTTCTGTTTTGGGAATCTCTGAAAAATATTAGAATTAAAATATACTTTATTTTACCTTTGTGATGTTAGAGGACTACAAACAGGGCTGCAGAGAAAAATATAAGACATTAGGGAAATGTAAGTGTGCTGGGATGAATTTAGGCACCAAAACTTTCCTTTTCTTCTCTGTCCCACACACACACACTACCACATCTACACGTGAACTCCATCTTCCATTTTTTCCTTCATTTCAGTGGTTTTGAATATAGATGTAAATGTGGGTGAAACCTCTAAGGATGGCTGATGGGGCAGCTGGTGCATGAACGCATCAAAGTTTTATCAGAGGATTCAGCAAGAAGCAGAAAGACTCTTTTCCCCGTGTACAAAGATGCAAACACACAAATTATTAAGTGTAAAATAAATGTTTAACAAGAAACCTGGAATGGTGAGTGTGTTTGCATTTCGTTAACATGCGTTTGAAATGCACTAGGAAAACAAACAGTGGAGAGTTTGATGACTCTAGTCTACATTTTTGGTCAAAGCTTTAGAGAATGACCCAGATAATAACACAGTTTTCTGTCTTGGTTTTTATGAAGGTAGTTTGCCTAGTTTGGAGGTAGAGCTGGGCGAGTTGGCCTAAAGTCAACATCACGGTATACTGACGAGTTCACCTCGAACATGATTAACACATGTATGCACAAAACAAAGGTTGTCCACAAGATGGGGCTGCCACTTGTATCATGTTGAGTCACATTGTCATGTGACTTGATGCTGCAGCTTCTTAAAGAGACATGAACTTTGCCAACCATGTTTTTACTACCACATGTGTTGACAAGGGAAAAATAATACCGGTTAGAGTTAGACATTTCAATTACGGTAAACGTTTGATTATCGCTCAGCCCTCACTGGAGGTTTAACCTGAACATTATGTCACCATCTTGGAAGATACACATCTGTGGTTTTTGCAGGATGGATGATGACAGATAGTTAAACACGGGAACCAGAGGAAGTGCGCTGTAAAATAATCAACATGTGTAGCCTCTCGGGGGTAGTTCAGAAAGAGGAGAATCTAGCAGACTGTCAAGCTCTATGCTAAAAGGAAAGTGAAGCCATTGTTCAGGTCAGGAAACTGTGGATCAGATCTTCACCCTCACCAAGTTGCTGAAAAGGTCATGAGGGTTTGAATGTGCAGTCCACAGATGTTTTGTGTACATGAAGAATGCTAATAGCCTCGCCTTTGAGGAATTTTACGAGGAGCTCTCAAGGAAAATGAGTTGCTTCAGTGTGTTTATGTTCTTCTTGGTTCATCGCTGATTAAACCAGGAGAATGACTTTCTCCAAACGTTAAACCACATTTCTTAACTGAATTAAAAAAAACAGAGCGCTCTCTGAGTGGGTGTGAGTCTTTGCTTGAAGCAGAGAAGTTCAGGTATCAAGAAGTCCTATTTGTGAGTGATGGTGGGATAGGATGAGAGATCTATTTGTGCCTTATCACCAGTATTGAGGATGATCCCATCCCTTTGGTAAAGAGCAGCAGAAAGTAATGCTTGCATTTTAATGGTCAATCTACGTTCTAACCGACACCTATGGCCATGAATAAAAAGTGCTTGGATGAGGATATTTGGGAATCTGGTCAGGGTGCTTTCAAGGCACGTCATATTGGGAAAGCACCTTGTAGGAGACCCAATACTTGCTGGAAAGATGTTACACCTCTTTTTGGCAAGGAAGGTCTCAGGACCACCCCTAAAATGTGTTGATGAGGAGCCAACTGTCTGGGTCTCCCTAAAAGACCTGTTGCCTTAAACAACGGTTGCTGTTTTATAAATCTGTAACTTTTACTGTAATGTGGGAAAGTGTCATTTTAGCTGGCTAAGCCAGTGCCTCGTCCTATAGAGCCCCGGGCCATTTGAGCTGACCAATACTCAGGATTAGCCGATCGCATTAGACATCGGTTTATGTACAGATGCCAATCACAGAGTGTGCAAGAGCGTTCGAGCATGCACCAAGACATATGACCTTTGGTGACGTTTCTTGTGGACAAGTAAGCCTTTAAAATACATATTTGAATGAACCGCAAAACATGAAAATAATAATTGTAAAATAATTAGTTTCAGCTCTGCTGGCCAGCTAGCAGTGCATGTTCACAAACGAGTGGCGTTGCTTTTGGCCGTAAACACGGAAGTGGTGAAAACAGCTTAAGGTGCAATACATTTGCCATCAGATAAAAGAGACTCTGGATTTCTACTTCAACACATTCAAACAGGGTACTGAGACTCTGTTCTGACTCATTACTACTACCCAAAAATAAGGCAAATTATAAACCAGCATTAACATACATTGTAGTGCTCTTAAGTCCCACTGAAAAATGTGCACAGTTTTGTTTGCTTGTTTGCTTAGTAACTGTTAAATGTTAGTGTTACAGTTGCAAAACTGAAGTGATGGCGTGCTTTTCTGTACCTAGCTCAGTCAGCCTCAGGGCCACATAACCGTAGATTTCATCAAGGATCAGGATGACCACAAGGTTGATGATGACCGCAGTAGCCGTTACCGTCACACGAACATTGGACTTGATCTCTGGGTCAGGGTTCATTGCCATCAAGGCTGATATTGTGATGCGGTAGATGATTACACTAAAAACTGCCGAACACGTCAACCCAAACTGGTAAAGAAAGAGAACACAGGGGAGATGAGTTAACCTTTATTCAGCCCCGCTGTCCAAAAAAATGACATAAATGGATGGAGGCAGGCCCCTGACGGATTCATTAACTTTGATGGTTGACCTTTTTATTTAACATGATTTCATCTTTGGATGCTGAGAAAGTAGTTACTATGAAGTAAAACATCAATCTGTACTTGCCATAAACAGGATAGAGGAAATATTCACAAGATATCCAGGAAGACGGTCCTTCCAGGTCAACTTCTCAATGGTAACCTAAAAGAAGGAACAAGGTGGAAACAGACGTGAAGAGAGGGAAGATTCTACATGACTTAAAACAATATTCACCATCATTGACTGATTTGTTATAAAAACATCAGCTAGTAAAAAAGAATGTTACACTTTGGTTAAGGAAGTGAGTCTCAGAACTTTGGAAACCAGCTTACAGGCAAAAACAAAAACAAAAACAAAAAAAACTCAGAGGTATGAGATGGTTACTGGTTTAAATGTTCCTAAACTGATTATTACAGTTAGCAGTTATATTAACAAACCACAGAAACTTTGTGAATGTCTTAGAGTTGCAGCAACTGAAACAAAGAGGCAGAAGTGAGATTCCTGCAGGTTTTAATGCCTCCAAGAAGACCAGATCTGAAGAGTCATTTTATTTAAATTTGTGTTCTCATCTACATCTGCACAATGTGAGGGAAAAAATGATGTGAAGAAAGAAAACAGAGATCTGGCTGATTGTCTGTAGCTGCCTTCAGTGTTAAATGTTTATGTTAAGTCAGCCAATGTTTAGTTTACAAGTTTTACTTTGGTTGCTTTTTACACCACCTCCTTAAAAACCACTTATACTGTTTGAAGACCATTGTAAATAACATAAAAATGTTATTTATATCAATGTGTGTATATATATATATATATATATGTATATATATATATATATACATATATATATATATATATATATACATATATATATATATAGTATATATATTGTATTTTATGTTTTTTTGTATGTTTTATGTTTTTTCAGCCCCTGACAGGCCAAAAAAAACAACATATTTAATGCTGGTTGCATCATGTTTTCACCCTGCAGACTACAACTAGAACTTAATGAATCATTCCTTTGTTTTCACCATCTGGGAATGACGTCATTCAATGAAAGGATAAAAGCAAGAATGGTCATAAACAATCTGTAAGGATTTTACATATCCATGATATCGTTGTTAGCAGTGACAAAGTTTCTTCTGATGCAAAGTTATTATATTGTTTCTTCCTTATTCTGCTAAATCTCAAATGTGCATTATTGACATTTGTAAGTCTTCATCATTATTCATTATGGACAATATAAGACTTGGATTAAAACACTAACTTTGTTGTAAAATGACTCCAAGAATTGAACATTTTAACTTGGAGGCTGACATATTTCTTTAAAACTCTTAGCTCGTTCTGTGTTTTGGTTCATAATCATCTTCTTTTTTCTTATTTAACACAGTGTAGTAATTAGATGTTGTTTTACCTTTGGCTGACATGTTTCGGCCGGAATTACTACACTGTGTTAACTAAGAAAAAAGAAGATGGCGTTGTTACGATCCAGGCTGTCTAGGAGGCCTGGGGTAACAATTGAGGATGCATGTTCTCGTGATAAAATTAACAAAACAACATTTATTTACATTAATATAACACAAAACACAGTTTATATAAAAAAATACACATCAGCAGCAACTCTATTATTTCCACTCTTTGTCTCGCTCTTCCTCTTCATCCTCCTCTTTCTCTTTCTTGCCCTGCTCCTCATCCCCCACCTTGCATACGCACCCGACCTTGACCTCTCACATGAATTCTTCTATCCATTGTCACACGTTCTCATTCCCACCTTCAACAACCTGTTGTCAATCAATGACATTTGTGCTCTTGTTATGGGTAAATGTGTGCCACTTGTGCTTACCTTTATGGATGACATGATGTACGTTAGAGTGCAGAATGTGTTATAAGAATGAGAATGCGTTTAGAGTTTTGCTAAACCGTGTGAGATTGTTTAAGGTTTTGACAACAGGCTCAACAGTTAGCTTAATGAGTTCAAGCAACTGAGAACTTTCTTCAGTCAATGGATTTTAGTGTTTTAGCAATTGAGAAAAACTGTAAACTCAGAGGGAGAAACATGAGAATCAAGCTTCAGCTAACTGCTAGAGCAACAGCCCCATCTAGTGGACACGTTAGAGTTGTACAAGAATCCTAGATGAAAACACAAATTAACAAATGTCTTCCAGTGATTAGTAAATGCTCTAGTTTTATAAAAATAAGAAACATACATGTTAAACCTAGTTATTTAGCATTTTTGAGGTATTTATTTCTTGCAAAACAGCAACAACTGTGCAAAGGTCTGGTTTGGACATCCAGCAGAGGTGGTCTGGACAGACTGACTCAATATAGACATGATCTGCATGTCCATGCAACAGTGACTGTTTGCAGAGACAGTCACGCAGTAGCCGCTTCTGTCTTCTGACACTTCTGCCGTTTAATATTAGAAACATGATGCTGAGAGTATTTCCTTTATTCTGCAGACAGTTACTCAATAGACTCAATGTGATAGAAACATATTTTGTTACCACCAACAAAAACAACAACAGGTAAGTACGATTCTTTGAAAATATTATTCAGGTGGATATTCAGGCACAGATCTCATTATTCAGGTACAGGAACACATTTCATACAATGCACTAAAAATATGCAGGATGGAATAAAAGAGACAAGGTTAAACTATTCTACAATGTGTGTGTGTGTGTGTGTGTGTGTGTGTGTGTGTGTGTGTGTGTGTGTGTGTGTGTGTGTGTGTGTGTGTGTGTGTGTGTGTGTGTGTGTGTGTGTGTTTGGCGAGGACGGCCATCAGCAGGGGAGGTAGTATATGGGTCAGTTGTTATATTTGGCTTTTTTAGTCCATTGAGGAAGGACAACCCCTGATGACAGACACCAAGTGACACTTTTTATTTCTCGTTGTCAGTCTCTCTGTTCATCCACCATCTTATCTGTCTCTCTCACATTCAGGAAGTAAGGCCAATATAGACAAATCAAGTTTTTAATTAATTCAATCATGATTTAACTGCATTAATAAATGAAAACACTCGAACCTGCAGGAAAGCAAACACGATATTTGACCCTGCTTTCGATATGTTGCTGTGTGATCGGGGCTTTAGGAAGATAGCTGAGGGAAGTCCTTTTCTCAGATGGATCCCATTTCTGAATTATTGGGGCATCTGAGAAAATAATGCTTCGAGAACAAAAGGTACCAACCAGTACCCAGAGCTGAGATAGTTAGGAAGATGAGTGGGGAGAGAGAGAGAGAGAGAGAGAGAGAGAGAGAGAGAGAGAGAGAGAGAGAGAGAGAGAGAGAGAAAGAGAGAGAGAGAATGATAAAGAAAGAGAGAGATAAAGAAACCCTATGAAGCAGGTGGACAAACAAAAACTCCCAATGATTGATTATGGAGGAGGGGCTGCCATCAGGCTAGATGATGATTGTTGATGTAACATACGGAATGCTCGCAACCAGAGAAAAAGCTGACAAATAATCTAAAAAGTCAAAAGCAGCTCATTTGGTGAAGACACTACAACACTTGGGTCCCTCTCAGGATATCTAGTGGTATGCAGTATTGCATATTTTGGTATCGATCCTAAGGTAAAAGAAAATACAGGCCAGTATCGCTGACACCGATACTGATACTTTTCAATAAATCAGATGGATGAGTCATTGAATTGCTAAATATTTGTAAATTTTTACACACAGGTAGGCTAGAAAAATCAATAGTAATCCCATGTTTTCAATAGTACGCAGATTGTTGGAAAAGTGGACTGCACAAAATGGGCATAGGTGCTCACTCAACTTTGAATCCAATTGGGTTTTGTAGGGTGAGGGACCCATCCAATATGGCGGCAAAGTGGTTACGCTTGCCAGATGCCGCCTCTACGTAAGCATGATCTCTATGGTTTGCCGGGGGGGGGGGGGGGGGGGGGGGGGATCGGGGGGGGGGGGGGGGGGTAGGAGATCAAAGTGTGCCTGCTCTGAGCTGACACAGGAGCAGTGAGTCCAGCGACTTCGCTGTTTTCTTTTTGCCCAAGAGCGGGACTTAAAGTAAAGAATCCATTTTACTAGTCTAGTATTGATCCAATAAAGATGCTGACTTGGTATTGATACTATGGATATCTGGATCGATCCACCCACCACTAGCCACCAGGAGAAAGCCACCCACCACGTCCTACTATGTTGGATTGTTGTTTGCTAAAGCACGAACATTTACAGTCATCCGGGCATTTCAGTTAAAGTTTTTGACTTTTTTGTTTCAAGTGTTACAATCACAAATCCTAAATGAGAAGTTGTTAAATTCTATGTGTTCAGGAGTGAAAATGGTAACGTCTGTTCCTACTGAATAGATTATTGTTATCTTTTCCTCTTGCCTTCACTTTTAATGGACATCAGCTTTAACCTGAAATCCATCTCCAGCAGCATGGAAATGTCTTGCTTTAGCTATTCTACAATCAAATGATAAAACTGACTCAAGGTTTTTTAGGGTCTATTTAGAGAACCTCCGGCTTTCAGTACAAATGAACAATTTAAAAACTTGCCAGCATCAGTTAGCTTAGTCCCACATTTTAAAGATCTTTTCTCATATTAAAGTAAATCCCATTTCAGTGCATCAGGTAGCAAATCTAACGGTTCAAGAGTGTGTGAGAGGGAGAGTTGTGTGTCGCCATAGTGATGGTCACTAATCTTACCCCTGGCTTCCTGCCCAGCATGCATCACTCCCACTCAGCCTCTCTCTCTCTCTCTCTCTCTCTGCTTTTCTTCAAACCTCCACTTCATCAAGCTGCTCAGCCTTTTTGTTCATTGTTTTCATTATTTTATTTCATTATTTAAATAAAAAAAGTGTTGTCTCTTGTTCATCCATTAAGCATGATATATTTAAAATTTCCCAAGCAAATAAATACAACTCTGGTTTGAATATCTGAACCAAAAGGTATATTCTGATTGACTCAAAACTACAAATGTGCATGTTGGATTAAGCTAAATAAAAATGTTTGCACAAAATTAAATGTAGCTGTAATAAATAACTGAATCCTATTGGCTGCATGTGAATGTAACACAACACTAAAGAAATTATTTGTAATGTTTTTAAAGAGCAAGTTGCCCCTAAATCAACCGTTTTTGCTGAAAAACTGAATAAATGAGTGTTGAATAGTGCCGTAGAAATCCCTAACCCTAACTCTAACCCAATATTTTGTCATTTTCAGTGCATCTTATTTCAAATAGAAATATTCTGCCTAAAACGGTCAGTGTAGCGCCCTCTTCAGCTTGAATTTGAAACAGCCACATCAGTCATCACCGCTATTGGCTAAACTGGTATTGTCTACGTTAGCCAGTAGTTCTGACGGGGCTGCACTGCACTGCTGAGCCTTAGCCCCGCCTCTGGCTGCCCCGGCCACTCACATGCCGATACGAAACGATACGACTCAGAGTCGTTTCCCAGGCAGTCCTTCCTTATGGTGCATTTTTCAAACAGGAAGTGTGGGTGGTGTAAGACTTGTTTAAAGAGCTGCAAAATCAAGGAAAAAGTCAATAATATTTCATGAATATTGAAATCATTAATTAGGTTACTTAGCGAGTTGGGAATGAATTTGTGGTGCAGCTCATCAACATAAGAGCTCAGTTGCAGTGTCACACACACGCACACACACACGCGCACACACACACACACACACACACACTGATGGGGACGATTTCCCTTCTGACGTCTCCGTTATCTAGGAGTGTTGCAAAGCCAGGACAACAGAGGGTGTAGCACTTCTCTGGCGTTATCCTGCCCCCATTGCGGTCCAAGTATGTGTATTTACACTTGTGTCTTTGTTACAGTATTGTATTTATATATTTCAGAGACTTATAATTAAATCAAACTTTATTTATAAGGCACTTTTCATACGGTTGATGCACCTCAAAGTACCTTACAGATGAAAATGACCCAACAGCACCCACATCCCCCACCACCATTACACACACACACACACACACACACACACACACACACACACACACACACACACCCACACACACACACACACACACACACACACACACACACACACACACACACACACACACACACACACACACACACACACACACACACACACATTGTGACAATGGGCTTTTTAAATTTAAACACAAACAGATTTGTCCCTCATTCCCCTCCACGCCTTCATGCAGTCACAACCTCTTACCCATAAAATGATCATGATTTTTGACCACGAATAAAAAGTTAGCTGCATTTCTTTTTAATCCTTCATTCACTGGTGTATATTGATCAGACCTTTTCTGCGAGATGTTTGATTCATTCCATGACTGCTGCTAGATAGTTTGGGTGCTTGTTTTATTCTTGAGGGGAGGAACGGCGGTGCTGTAGATTAATTTAAAGGATTCGGCATCCGGACCAATCACAGGTTTGTGTTCTCCAACACTTTCGATGGACAGTTTCATTGTGTTTGTGTGCAGATGGAGAAGTATAAATCAGGCTTTATTCATCATATGCAAAGGATTTGCCTCTGATTGGCTGACACCATCGACATTAGAATTATGGACATCGCCTTTCCATAGACTCTAATATTTGAGGCATTTTGACCGTGTCACAGGTTCCGTCAAGCCCAGACAATTCCATAAAAGGGAAGAGAGGAGCTGAGGGTGGGGCTGTAAGGCTGGGATCAACTGACGACACCCGGTCGAACTAGCTACAAGCTAATCTGAAGCTAACCCAAAGCTAACGCGGAGGTGGGAGCTAAGCTAACGGAGGTAGCAACCTAGCTACAACCGGAGTTAACTGTGCACAACACCAGAGCTTCTGAGTCAGAGATACGCCGGGCTGACCGCTGGGTAAAATCGGGTGGAAAGGTTTCCATCCCAGAGCTCCACCAGCCGGCAGCCCGCGCAGCAGACAGAAGCCGCGATCAGACAGAGATGCGCCGAGCTTCAGGGAGACCCAGCCGGCAGCCAGCGCAGCAGACAGAAGCTGCGATCAGACAGAAGCTGCGATCAGACAGAAATGAGCCGAGCTGCAGGGAGAAACAGCCAGCAGCCCGGCGCATCAAACAGAAGCTGCGAAGCCAGGGGAGAAACGGGTGGAAAACTTCTGTCTCCCGAGAGCTCCACAAGGCGATAGTCGGAACCCAGCTCCACCAACATTTTATATTTCAACCCATTTTCTAAAATGCAGCATTATGTTAAATGCACTGGGTTTTACCCTATTACATTTAAATTTCATGGTTAAACAGTACATGTTAAAATCTAAGCTCAGCTCAGCAGTGACCTGAAATACATAAATATAATTTTACTTACCGAAAAAAATGAGGTGGAGACTTGGACGCTCTATTAGTGCAATTAATGCCACAGCAAGTCATTTTGTCCAACAATTGCAATAAAAATATCCAAAAAAGAATACACAAACACAGAGACTCAAAATCCAGGAGCAGTTTCCAAGCCAGACCGGCTCTACTGAGGCCTTTCCACGGAGCTAGCTCTGTGGTCACGTGCGTCTGAGGTGGTGGTCACGTGCGTCTGATGCTCATTAATTATACAGAATTTTAGGCTTTTAATACACTTAAACAGAAGAGTGAGAAAAAAATTCACCCCCCTCAGAGTTGTCATGAGTGTAAACTAGATCATTTAAACCAAAAACATGTTTTGGTACCAGGCTGTAAACATGTTTATTTCTTCTGTGAAATTGGTATTTTTAACATGGGAGTCAATGAGGATTTGCTCGCTTCTGACACCAGCCCCCAGCGGATGAGGGTGGAACTGCAATTTTTGGTACTTCCGGGTTCGACTCAATTTTAGAGCTCCGGTGTGGGGGCTTGGCTGACACCAACAAGATTCTACCACTGACCACATGATTTCCAGTGTTGATATTTTATCTTCTCAAATCACACAAGCCTAGAGTTCTGCCATGTGGTGGAGTTGCAAATGCTAACTGTTAGCCTCTGCTAGCCGAGACATGCTCTGCTCTCTCCAGGATGCTAAATCAACAACAGTGTTCCCTGTTGTGAGCCAAGATGGGTGAGTCCATGAATGCTAATTTACAGTATGACGTAAATCCGAGAGGCTTTTTCTGACCCGAGCGTTTCCTCGTCTATTTTCTATCGCCGGCTAACACAGGAAATGTTGCATAAAGACTATTTTCACATTCAGCCTGCATGTTAAGCTCAGAGTGATCGCTCACATTAAAAAACAAAACAAGTATTATAAGTTTCTCAGTGAACTTGCTCTTAAAATTGGCATGTCAAGTTCTTTTCAGGGTGGATCCAAGTCAAATGTTTTCTATCCTGAAAAATATCCTGACTGTCTTCTGCCAAGATCGTCCAGATGTCAAGGAAAACACGCCAAGCTTCAGAAACAAATACCTGAGAAGTTGTGGCAGCCAGAGGATGGGGCAGGAAGAGAAGAACAGATAGACAACAGCCTGCTGGAAGGAAAAGAGGGGGAAGAACAGGAGGAAAATAAAGGAAAAGGAAAGGATGAACAGGAAACAGAAAAGGGAGAGGACACTCTAAGGAGAGGAGAGGAAGGGTTACCGGTATTCCTGCAGCCATGGCAGACAGCAGCTTTTGTCTCCATCTGTCCTTCTCTGTCACTGTCCCGTCCTCCTGCTTCTCTCGCTACAAGACAGAGGGACATGTTACACACACACACACACACACACACACACACACACACACACACACACACACACACACACAGACAGACATGCCACACATGCGCACACCCACACCTGTTTCGATGGCCCACTGGGGACTCCTTATTGTTGAGATGCACCCTGATCTTGTTTTATTTAGTCACAATGAGACACGAGCAGATTCTGTCAGGAGCTCCACATTAGATGGACCAGTAATGAAAAAAGAAAACCCTCACTCATTTACAAACTTAATGAGCAAAAGTCTCATCATGATTGTTCCATTTACTGTCCAGTAATTAGACCTCACCCCTATTCTTTATCTGGTTTATAAAGGTTGTAAAATAATACCGCGATTTATGGTAGGGCAGTAAGACACTTGTTGATAATGTGATATTGTAAAGGTGCGTGCAATAAAAGTCCATTAATGCTGGTCACTGGCTCATGCACCAGGGTATCTAGTTGTGTTAGTTTGTTTTTAGTCCAGTCATTAAAATTATTTTGCATTAAAATTAAAAAAATGAACACACAAATAGAACAGAGACAAGAAAATGGGATAATAAAATATTTCCACATTCAGATGCTTTAACGTTTTTCTCCAAACCTGCAGAACAGGTTCTTTAATAAACATATGAGCAAACAAAGCTTTTCAGGTGTCCTTTTGTTGAAAATTATGGATTCTTCTACTTGCATCTACACTTTTAAATCTTTACACATTCCCGTTGAGCAGTCCAGAACCTGCATCTTTTTCTGCCCTTGTGACGTGTGCAGATTGTGTCCTTGACCTAACAAGGTCCTATATGCAGCAAGCTTGGGTTGCAGACCGGAGACTCGTTTTGAAATATTCAGTTGTTGGTCTTTCAACAGATCAGATTTGAATAAATCACAACTTTTACAAATTTCTTGCATGTGTCTGCAACCACGGCTGTTGTACACTAAGT